CTCAAAGCACCACTGTGTCCATGTGCAGCTTAGCAGAGCTGCTCTTAATGCTATTTAAAGCCATTAGGCGTTATCAGTGACACAGACAAACATCATAACAACATAAAACAGTGCTGTATAAATCCTCTACAACTGTAAACACTTCCCACTCCAAAGGGCTCCTGTTTTATCTTTTATCATAGTCCTTCCTCTTTTGCCTCCACCCTCTTCATAATGTAAAACATTGTCATGAAACCTGTCACATAAATCCAAACCAGGGACCTTTACTTCTCCCTCAGCCTCTAATGACTTCGTCTGGCTCCAGCTGTGCTCTCTGTCATCCTGTCGGGCGCTCTGTAGGGGACAAGGTTTCCTCTCAGCCTCCTGGCCGGCCCTCACTGACCCCTATATTGAGCTTGCTCTAATTTACTGTCTTTCCCATCTTTATTTATCAGGGCCAAGTGGCACAGCCAAACAATAACATGCAGCTCCTTCGGAAGGAAGTATTAGTGGATTACATAGTGGTTTACTTTTCCTGGGCCAGGACAGATTTGTGCGGCTGGCCTCTTTGTTGAGGTCATCATTGTGGAAAGGCAAGAACCCTCTGCAGCTGGATCAAAACTACTACTACTTCAGTGTAGTTGTTTTAGATGATTTGTCAAGAGCCATATATTTGACTGTTACAGATGTTATTGTTGATTAGCCTAGAAATGAGAAGACATTAAATCCATCAAACTCTGCTGACGAGACGCTAAAAAACATCCTCTCGATCCTGGTTACAGCTGTTCCATTTACTCCCTCTACAAATAAATACGCTACTGCTGCAAACAAGATGATAGTTATGAATATCTCTTACACATGAGGATGTTGATCTGATCATTGCAACAACAGGATTCCAATTATGTGCAAGATCACCCCAAGCATAACACAAGTCAGCATCACACACAGGGGTCAGTGGAACAGCTTGAGCATTCCTGAGCAATTAATGCACAATAATGAGAACGGCCAAATAAAACAACCTTTGAACAAGCAGTGGAAGGTAAACAAAGCAGCAACAGCGCAGATGTAGATAAGCACCAGGAAACACAGGTGCATTCGCTCCAGACTTGGACGTCCTCAGCCCTCAGTGGGGTCGACCACCCGCTCTATTTGGCCCACATAAGCAGAATCGCCTTTAATACAGGAAATGCTGGCTTCCCACCTGCAGCATGCATATCTTATTAGAGGCTGAGACAGAATGAAAACCATCTGAAGGCATTGTTTCACTGCTTTTATGGCTGCCTGCGATGTCTGAAAGAAATCAGCAGATGGTTAACGACACTCTAACGGGCATAATCATCTCTTTAGCAGCCATGGATCAGGGTTATTTGTTTGCATTTTTGACAAGTGTTTAGAATTTGGCTCTAATTTGTGCTGTTTTTTAAGTCAGTGTATCAGAAAGTGCATCTCAGAGCTTCGTAATCCCTCTATACAGAGTGCAGTTTTAAAGGCAGCCAAATAAATCAAACAGGGTGAGATAGTGGGAAAAAATTAATTTCTTTAGCATGATATAATAAACCGTGTGCGTCACTGTGCTGTAATTCAATATACAGTGGAGCTGGCTGCTGACTCATTAGTAGACGGGTTTACATGTTTGGTGTTATTAAATAAAAACATTAAATAGTGAGCTGAAGAGACCTTTTTGTGTCCTCATGGAGCGTTACAGTGTTTAACAATGAAATCAGAGCAACCTCTACTGGTGGACTGTCACCTTCACATTCACCCTGCATGTTTAAAATCACTGTGAAATGAACTCAGACCTTTTCCCTTTTCTGTCAAATGTTAATCTGTTTTTACCTTTCTTAGGCAGGATCTTCATCTAGGATCCGTGTCGCCTGAGGGTAGAAGCTCTTCCTTTCCACCAAATTAGCTCTGGTTCTTGAACTAATCCTGTTCAGGACTCTTGGTGGTATCTTTTTGAGCAAAATAAATCAGTAATCTAGGAAGTGTCAAATACTCAAGAGAGACAAACAGCAGTATTCTGAGCTTTTGTCTGTTATTACATATATTTGATTTTATCCGAGAAACAAGAATGGACCAACTATTAATGAGACCTCTGCACATTCTTTTCTCAGTGATTTCTCACTTGACTTCTCCCTTTTTTTCTTCTCCATCCTCTCTTTCTAACCTGTAGAATATGACATGCCCAACAATGTCGTCACGGTTTGCACTTAAGGTTAAGGAAACCCTGCTGTTTTTTGGTTCCTGCTGGGAACCAGCTTCTGGAGTTCCGAACCAATTTATTTTTTGGTCAAAATGCTGCGAGTGGTTTAAAATTAAGTGCGTCAACCGGAGCGTAACCTGTTCCATGATGGTGGCAAAAGTGCATCAGCGCTGGCCTGGTGACCTCAACAGGTAGAAAAAGCTGTCATTGATTCTATGATTCTCCTCGTCTTATTCTTACAGTGTCTGGTGTAAACATCCCCGAGGCAGGGTAGAGCATGTTCAGCTGAAGGAACCACTCTTTGCAGGGCCCCGCAGTCCTGCTCGGTGCTGTTTCTGTACCAGGCAATGATGTTTCCTGTCAGGATGCTCTTGTTGGGATTCTTGCAATTTCGTCAAGCATCTGAGGTAAAACAGTCTCTGCCTTTCTCATGACAAAGTCAGTATGCAGCAGGTTAGGATTAGGATGTCAGTAACATGGATACCAAGGTTCTTAGAGCTATCCATCCTCTCCACCAATGACCCCTTGATATTAAGCCTGTGTAGTTCCTTTCCTGCTTCTTCCCAAAGACCATTATCATCCCTTAGTTTTGCTGACGTTCAGGAGCAGGTTTTTGTCCTGACACCAGCGGGTCAAGTCCTCAACTTCTGTCAGGTAGGCCTTTTCATTGTTATCTGTGTCAGCTATCTGTGTTATCTGTATCTGCTGTGTCATCAGCAAACTTAATGACAGTGTTGGAGTCAAAAGTGGCTACACAGAGGAGGTACTCACAAGAAAATGTCTTTGTCTTTTTCACAGATGCCACTGTATCCACAGTCGGTCCTGCTGCATGAACAAAAACTAAAAGAAGTCAGTGGTTTCTTGCATGTCATTAAAAATTTCTGCATCATGGTTGTGATTTTTTTATTGTCACATGTTAACATAAGTGTCATATATATACAAGGATTTTATTGTGACTAAAAGTAACAAAAGGAAGCTGATGAGATTTTGTGATGTCATGTCCTCATCCTGCAATGAGCCAGTTTGTCCTTGTGGGGGAGCACTCACCCTCCTCTCAGAGCGGAATATCAAACTATACATACAACCATGCTGACTTGGTTTGCACAGGCGTCCTGTGCTGATGCTCGATGAGTCACTTCCACTCTCTGTGACAGACTGCCAACAGCTGCAGCTTCATGTCCGTGTGCATGTGTGTGTGCCAAGTTCTATTTATAAATAGCCCTCCTCTGCAAACACACATAAAACTACATCATGTATCGACACATAAAACACAGCTCTTAAAGCAGCACTAAACAGCCCCTGTCAAGGCTCAGTTTAGTAAAATATAAAGTCTGGATTTTCATCATGCTAATTTCAGGACGCATGCCGCTCCCTGCTGTCTGAAGTGAGTGGGTGAATTGTGATCTCACTGCCCGCTGCCAGCTGCATTGCAAGATTAAACCCCCTCATGCGTAAGCAGGAGATCCTTGTCTCCTGCAGGTATCACGTTCTCTCCCGGTCAGAAGCACCTTGTGTCTTTCCTCACCTCAGATTAAGTGTCTCCTTTATCTGTGATACTCTCTCTTTAAGTCTTGGCTGCATCTGATAGATTCTGATAGTGTGCATAAACTCCAAAATGTTTTGATTTAAGTGTAAGTTGTGAATTATTTTTCTGGATTTAAAGCCTCTGGAAATAACTTGTTGGTAAGATTTTAAAGCCATATCCTACTACTCCAGATGTCAGAGGAATAATACCAAGGGTTGCCTTAAAGAGACAGTTCACCCCGAAATCAATCTCCATAGAGATGTCTGCCTTCTCTTAAATATAATGGAACTAGATGGCATTCGGCTTGTGGTGCTCAGTGCACCAAAACTACATTTGAAAGACTCAACAGCAATGTTTCTTTCCAGAAATCATGACCCAGTTACTCAAGACAATCCACAGACCTTGTTGTGAGCAGTTTCATGTGGGAACTATTTTCTTTCTACTGATCTACACCTGCCAACCATATCACCGAGCAGAAGGAAGCGTACATCTACCCATGCATGAGTGGCCTTGCAACCAGAAGGTTTCTACAAAGTAGTCATCCTTAATCTGACAGACACTTGTTGGGGTGCAGTTTGATGCAGTCTTCTAGTTAACATCTGAAATGTAAAACTTAAAAGTCAAATTGTTTGAATGGACCGTAAATGATTTAAATATAACTAATGCACTTCATGTCATGTTTTGGGCCGCATAAAATGTTTCTGCAGGCAGCCATTGGCCCGTAGGCCGCACTTTGAGTAACAGTCCTTTTAATTAAAAGGATCTGAATACCCACCTCACCCACCACTGGGAAAGACAGTGCTAAGCAGAGTGTGTGGACATAAGATCATTTGGTTATCTCCCACTGTGCAAGGTCATCTAAATTTGTGGGGGTGTTTTCATAATGTGCAGAAAAACAGCTGACGTGAGTAACTGTCAATAGTCCCTTGATTACTAAGAGATTGTCTATCTATCTATCTATCTACATGTCTATCTGTCTATCTGCATTTTGCTTGAAGACTTTTAATAGCTAGTGGCAGTATAAAGTAAATAAAGTATACTGTGAGTACATTTCATGTGGCATACGTCTTTGGTGGTCTTTGTATCAGTGCACTCACTAATTAAGCTTAGCACCCCCTGATCCAATGCCCTGTTTACCTCCAGTTACATGCTCCGCAATCTGTGATGAAACATGAGTCCGTAGGGGTGACCGATGTCAGGGAAAGATGATCAGGACGGTAGCCTGGGATGACTCGAATACTTTCCACCGTCATGTTAGGGTTTGCTCTCCCCATTTTAGAGCTGTAGCTGCAAGAGTGAGGAGCAGAGGGAGAACTGGTCAGAGAAAACAAAGATTTGCGCAGAGTGGAGATGAATATGTTGTAGCGAAACTGACAGCTGTAAAGAAAGATCACTTAGCAGGTTTGATTGTGCCTAATTTGACACATTAATACTTATAATCATGTCTGACAAACAGAGCAGCCAAAGGAAGCCATCCACCAACAGGAACATCAAGAAGCTGCGCACTGTTAGCATGGTGAGCAGCCTTATGGACAGCTGGCAGAAGTGGGTGACGGACAATGAGAAGAAGCAGGCCAGTGAACCCAGCGGCTGGTGTCCATATTCATTGGGAGGACCAGAAGAGGTACCTAGAAAGACATGGGTCCCAAAGAAGCATCCTCTCACTCAGATCCAGCCAACAGAAGCTCCTCAAAATCATGAAATCAGCTCTGGGGAGGCTCAAAAGACAACTCCTCACAAGGAGACCAAAGATGCAATCAAGACTGAGGAGGTCAAGACTTCAACTGAGCCAACATCTGGCATCAAGGTAAAGCAAGTGGTGAAGACGGTTACCAGCGGGGTAACAGAGAAAGGTGCAGGCATCGCGCTCCTGACAGAGAGGATCAAGAGGGAGTCTCTGCCATCAGATGAGGAGATTGACAGGCTTCTGAAGAAGAAAAGCTCGCCGACACGCCGCAGAAAATGCTCCAACATGGTGTCATCTCTGACCAAAAGCTGGAAGCAAGTGGAGAAAGAGCACAAAGTTGGGAAAGAGGGAGGTGGACCAGAAAAGGGATGTACCTGTGGGGGTGATAAAGGTGACAGTGGACATCCTGAGGCAGAGAAGGAGAGGCTGGACTTGGAAGATGCTCAAACACACAGGACAAGCTTTTTGAAAGAAGCAGAGCAAGAAGACTCTGAAGAAGAGTCTTACTCAGCAATACGGATTAAAAGACCGTCAATCTCTGCGTGAGTACGATCAGTGTGCTTCATAATATTTTTCCAGTACAGAGAGGATGTTGTTTTGAATGAAATTTGTTTTGAAATGCTAAGAAAATAGGGGCACAACACTGACACTCAATTCTTGAAGGTCAGACGAAAAAGGATCTTTACTTTCTCAAAGGACTACTTCACCCCCCCAAAGCATAAGTGGTAAGTCAGTTACTCACTCCATGTTATGGTGATTCATGAAGAAAACTTTGATTTTCTTACATGAGGTGAACAAAGACTTTAAAAACTGAGAAAATTATTGATGAATTGTAGTCATAGGGGTCCACAGCAAAACTATATCATAACACCAGTTTGCAAACTCTCACACAACTTGTGCAGTGTAATCCAAGTCTAATTTTTCCATTGGTTTGCTAAGTACTTCCAAAACAGACATTCCTTTCTGACACAGAACTGCACAGAAAGTTAAGCTTACCTATGCTCTCTTCACAGCTCCATTAACAAAAACAGTAATTTTATCTTGCTGAAAATGGGAAATGCTGGTCTACCACTACTTCGATTAGTTTGTTTACATTATTGCATGACTTTGCTGAATCTGAACTAACCCTTTAAACTTTAGAGGCACACAATAACAAACAAACTAACTGATGGAGGCTGTGGTAGACCAACAGCTCCCATGTTCAGCGAGGTAAAATTGCTGTTTTTGTCAATGGAGTCTGGCTTTGAAGAGGTTTCACTTTTAGTTCAGTTCCCTATTGGAAAGAGCTGTCCGTTTGGAAAGTACTGAGCATACAACTGGATAATAAATTCAAGGTAACATGGGTTGAGTGCCTGATATGCAAATGGTAGTTTGGGAGGTGAAGTATTCCTTCAGGAAACTGTTAGCTGTGGAGAGAAAGGTAACTTGATTCGACAGAGTGGGCAGAAATTAGTATCTACATGCCCTTGTGCACCATGAGGTCAAGATGATAAGTCTTCAAGGAAGTAGCAGTTTCCAAAAAGATCAAGTACCTATTCCATTAGAACTTAAATCAACATAGTCAAAGATTTCAAAGGTTATCTCACAGTATTTGGGTTTCAACCGTGGCATGTTTAGAGAGGCGGGCGTCAAGGTCTCATGGGCAAACAGGGAGGTTTCCTTCTTGTGAGAATGAACTTTGGTTTTGTGATTCTTGCAGTTTAAGGCATAAAAACGACTAGCCATGATCTCATCTTTTACTCACTTTTCAATTCTCCTTGCATCTCATGACCAAGACATTCGGAAACCTGTGAATTAGGTCTGCATTGACCCTTAAGACCAAATTAAAAAAAACAACACCTTCTTACTATTGAATATTTGCAGCTCCTATTGCAGATTCAAAACAGATCTGAGCCTATTGTATATTTTTACTTATTTGTAACATAATCTGACCTCCTTCTCAGGTACAAAAAGGAAGCTGAGGATGCCAACAAGATCAACGCCCTCTCCAAGAAATACAGCGCTGTGGGAAACCTCAAGAGCCGCTGGCAGGACTGGGCCTCGGAGCACACCATCAACCAGAAACTGAACCCCTTCAGTGAATATTTCGACTATGATTATTCCATGTCCCTCCGCATCCAAAAGGGTGAGGACGGTTACGGACGCCCCAAGGAGGGATCCAAAACTGCAGAGAGAGCCAAACGTGCCGAGCAGCACATCCACCGCGAGATAGCTGACATGTGCTACGTTATCAGGACTATGGCTGATCCAGACCCAGACGGAAAGACCCGCATCACGTTTGGACAGCTGTTTGACAGATATGTTCGGATCTCTGATAAGGTAGTGGGGATCCTGATGAGAGCCAGGAAACACGGGAAGGTGGCGTTTGAAGGGGAGATGCTGTGGCAAGGCCAGGATGATGGAGTGATCATTACTCTGCTGGTGTGATGTTAACACCTGGGTCAGAGTGGCACTGGCAATCCTCTTACAGGTACTTGTGAAATAACCTCAGTCATTATCAAGCAGGGCTAAGAGGAGGATTTAAAATACAGTCTGACCTGGGTCTATTCAGTGGAGGCTTGCAGAACAATATCAAAGGAGTGTGGAGACTACAAAGCTTGGCGGATGAATTCATGTGGATTATCAAAAGAATATTTTGCTGCTATTTCTGTCGACTCTTTCTGTCAGTGTTGTGGACATTTTGAGTTGTAGCTGCCACGCACATATTTTGAAAAAGACTTTGAAGTTTTAAATCAGGAGCTCTGGAGAGTTAGCGTTCTAGTTTTTGGGCCGCTTAAGTTTCCATTCAAAGTTCCCATACGTGTCTCTTTCGCACTTTCTTTATGGCTTATGTTAATGAGATACTTGACTATGTGTTAATGTACCAAATAACCAGCAGCCTCGCAGTGTAGTACAGCGCAGTAATTCAAACACGGATTGGGTTTCATTGCCTGAATACATGCAGCTCAGCATTCATTATACAGCAGCAGGCACAATGCAGAGGAACAGAGCAGACCACAGCACTTTTAAATCTCGTGGCCTGTTTGGCTGAGCCTCTAATGATTAATGTAAGGGGTGACTATGGCTGTCTGGGGGAAAAAAGGAAAGCTTTCCTTTTCACATCCAGTTATTGAGTGTTAGTGGAATTCTTTGCAGTCTGTACAATAATACGGAAACAATTTTAGCAGATATTTTTGGTGTCTGACATATAGGGGTGATGAGCTGATAAATTGAGAATGCTATTTGTTTTCTTGCCACACTGAAGCATACTGTGCATTTGAGGTATTTACTTGCACTCTCATTAAAGGTATACGATGCAGGATTTTATGAAAAGACTGTCATGTCCTTTAGTTTTCTATTATTGCATTATTATGAAAGTCAGTCTCCTCATGAGTCATGTCTTCCTATGTTACTCCCTATCTTTGTCTGTTTCCTGTCACGCCTGCCTCCTATCAGTCTCATTAGTCCTTCCCTATTTCCAGAGTTTTCCCTGCACCCCTATCTTCTATTAGTCTTGTTTGCTTCACCCTATGTTCCCTACCCACGCTGTCATTGTCAGCAAACCCCTGTGTTTTCCCTCCTTTTGCCCATGCCCACCTACTTTAGCCGTGTCTTGTTCTTATGATTAGTTTTGTCCTTTGTCAGTTCATTCCCTGGTTTGCTTTCCATGCTTGCGCTGATCTCTCGTGTTCCTAGTTGGATTGCTTCTCTTTGGTCATCCTCGTAGTCATGGTACCATCCTGGTTTGTTCTCAGTTTAGTTTTGGTGCTTCTTTCTTTTGTACTTTGAATTACGTCTGCCTGCATCTTCAGTTTCATTACCTGCCAGTCTTGGATGTACTTTATCAGCTACATTAAAGCTTGTTTTTCTGTTTAATCCACCTGCCTGCTGGCTGTGCTGCATTTGGGTCTGCTTGTGAACTGAAACCTTAACAAAAACAAAGTATCGACTCCTTCATAAGTAATCCCTCTCAATCATCCCTTATGACCCACTGGAAGTATGTGGCTGTGCATTTGCCCTCTCTATTCATTGGCACGGCAGACAGGTGAGGCTGGGACTTTATAAAAAAGGAAGTGACTAGGTGCCAGAGCATAAGCAGCATGCATCTAAAAGGAAATCCAGACACACCAACAAAAAAAATTCAACAATAGCTCATAGCAAATCTAGGGTTGACTGCAACTTTAAATGGAAATACTGTTTATAAGCAGTAGCTGATATGCATAGTGTAGTCCAAGTAGTATTAACCAATTGGTTTTGAACAGCAGGTAAACAGTTCACTGTCTCTGCCAGTGACAGAAAGCACTGGCCGAAATGCAATCTTGGAATCTGTCATCTGATGACGAGTTAACCCTTATATAATCTTTTTTAAAATGTAACTTTATTCATATGCCAATGTATCCTCATACAATGGTTCATATGATACTTTACGAATTGGCTCCCCAGGAATGACGTTACGTACTTAACGTCAAGTAACGTAATTAGCATTAAGTTACGGAGGTTAGGTTTAGGCAAGTAAAGATACTGTGGTTAGGAAAAGAAACACGGTGAGAACCAAACTGTTGAGTCATATCCAACAAAACACTGTACACCTGCAGTTCATAACCTGCAGTAAGATCATTTTTTGGCCACTTGAGGGCAGCAGAACAACAGTGACATATCACCTTTTAACTTGATATAGTGAACTTGTTGGCAAAGTTGCTTATTTATAAATCCAACAAATATGGAGCAACGTTACATTTATTTAATTGGAGTTGTGTTTGTGTCCACCTGCTGAATGCAAGGACAATATTTACTTTACTTTTAGCTCTGTTTTTGGTCTCTACCAACTCCCGAGAGGTCATTTCTCTCTCTTTAGCTGCTGTCTCTAAATGTGTCTGTCTAGTGTGTGGCGCTGAGGCTGTGGTGTACAGTGGGGTTTTTCCTCTGAAAACAATTGCTATGAGAAAACGATGCTTTGAGAGCAATGAGAGGGAACCAAAACAGTAAAGCTGTGAACTGGACTGCTAGACAATGAGGCGAATCTCACTATAACACTCCATAAAGCCTAGAGGAGCTGCAGATTCAGGCGTATTCTCTGATTCATCAGCACAGTGTTTTCACATTACAGTTTGGTACTTTGTTTTTAAACCTTTATCCTAACTTTTGCTTTCTCCCAACACATGAACCAGGTGTAATGTCTTTCTTGTAATAATGCAGGCACTTTTATTTCAGGATATGATTAAAAAAATAAACTGTCTCTTTCCATCTTACACTGATCATGATACGAACAGTCTGACATGGTGACATAATTATCATGGACACTGGATCATCAAGACAATTTCTTTTTACCCATGACAAAGGTGCTGTACAGGTGGTGGTGTAGTTCATAAATATAAACTGTTCAATAATGCAATCGGGAACAGAAGCCCTGCAATAAATACAACCAGTTCATACCATTAACTACAGTCCTAGTCAGTGTTGGTCACCACTAACAGGGGCCGAATGCTGTATGCAGGCCAGCCCACAGGCCACCCCTTCAACATGTATCCCACCAACAGTGACACTGTGCTTTAACAGTGGTCAGGTCTGTGTAGTCATCACCTTCATCAGAGAATACTGTGATGCCGATGATCCACCTGCTAACAACACTGCTGAGCACAGAGGAGGGGAGCAGTTGCTACCATTTTTCAGCAATTCTGCCAAACCAATTCAATGACAATCACACTTTATTTCTGATTGATATATCTATGTCAATGTGACAGTCATTAGTTTAGGGATTTGACACTGGGGTGACCCGGGGAGCTGACTGAATGCAGGGAGGGAAAAGTATCCTCAGGCATCCATTGCTGTACTAAAAACAGCTTGCTGCAGCTACACTGTAGAACAGAGAATGTTTTCGGCTCTTTTTCTGACTTTCTCAACTTTGAATGAATGAACTTTACCAATTCTTTAACACACTCCACTCAGCACAATAGCACTTGTTTTACAATTGCCACTTATTCACAAAAATATAATTTTCTTTTCGTTTCTACCATTTGTTTTGTTGATTTCTTTGTCTCTACTTTTAGTAGGCTTGAATTTATGACTCATGACATTCTCTTCTTCAAAACCCCATTACAACAAGCAGGAAGATTAAGCACAACTACACACTCACACACACACTCACACAGTTACTGTACATGATTATCAGTTAACAGGAAGTCAGAGAAACCTCTCAGACAGGCTGAGCACACCTTAAAACAAAAGAAGAAACCAGGAAGGAACCCGGACATGCATACCAACAGACCAGACACACCTGTTACACACCACACTGAAGAAACAGACAGACTTCCTCATTCTGTCACCTATAGTATCTATTCATCACTACAGGATATCACTCATAAAATGTTACCATGACACAGGCAGGCAGGTAGTAGGCTGGGCCCCTTGTGACAATTGGTTTTGTTTACATGTTTCCTACTTGCAATACCTGTGCTGCATATTTCTCTCTGGAGATATTTTACTCCTAAGAGGGCCTTTTATCCTTTACTCAGTTTCTGTTATATATAATGTTACAATATCAGATGTGCATATCAAATGTGGCAAGTTTCAGATAATGAGGTAAACTTATGTAATCCATGTGAGCAAAAACCTCAGGTGTCAGAGTGCTCTGAATATTCTATTCCCAATGTTTTTTTCTACTTCTGAGACAAGCTGACGTCAGCTCATGAAGATTTCTTTATATGGTCATGTGCTCCAGGCACACCACTGCAAGTGACATAAAGTGTTTATATCACAGAGCATACACTGCTACATGTAGCCACATGCTAACATCAGTGAAACATGTAATCTTGGTTGCTGATGTTGTGAATTTCACCCCACTTTCAGATCTTATTCCTGCTGGAACATGTCCAGTTGTGTTTAGAAGCTTTTATTGGGGATTTTTCACAGTAAAAAGTGCTGCTGTTTTTTGTTGCAGTCATGCCCCGGCTGCAATAACAGTGCAGAAACACTTAGATACGAAAGACCCGGAAAAGCTGACGAGTCAGAGCAGACTGGGTCTGTTCAGGAGGGGGGATAAAGAGACAGGTGATCCAACAGTGTTTCATACAGAGGATGACAGGGGGTGTTCCAGCACAGACAGAATGAGGAAAATAAAGTGTTTTCTGAAAAATAGAGTAAGGTAAATATGTTCTACTCAAAACCCAAAATGCAAGTATGAGCCTGAAAATTAGCATAATAGGTCGCCTGATCCTGGTCTCACTCCTCAGTCGTCAAAAACCATTGCTTGGGCAGTGACTTGTAACGTCAGAAACCAACAGAAAAAAAGCGCCCTTTAACGTCGGTATGATAAGCAGCCAGTTGCCGTTATAGTTTAATAGAACCTGGCAGCGTCAGGGGGAAACACGGTGGGACAAAGAGGAAAGTCAAGGCAACGAAAGTCCAACTGGGACAGGTGGGTGGGAGGGGTGGTGGATGGGTCCAACAAACTTTCAGCTTGTCCCAGACTTTCAACTGAGAGAGTGGTTAGCGTTCTGTAAGATTCTAAAACCAATCCCTGTTGGGATTTTTTCCTAAACCTTACCATGTGTTTTTGTTGTCGAAGGAAAAAACATTAATTCAATTTAATTAATCAATTTTCGTTACCTACGTAATGCGTTTATTTTGAAAGAGACTTATGAAAACGATAAATTTCATGTTAAAAAGGAAGTGTATTTTCAAAAGAAGACAATACCAGGCAGAGCTTGACATGGCGCCCCAGAGTGTCGACAGCGCCAGCTCACAGAGGGTACACTGCACGTCCTATGTGGCCGTGGAAAGTCGATGACCAAACATCAATATGTGACAAGGTTGGAGTGAGAATGTGTTGGTCCCCTTGAATTAATTTGCAGATGCTCCATTTGCCTCCTAATATTCACTTTCAGTACATTGGATAGCCACAACATTTTATAAGGCAAACATGAAATTTCTAACATGTTTAGTGCATACCACAGTGTTCATTTTCATATGTGGAGGGAAGTCAGATTGGACCTCTGAGGACTGTGAGATGTCAAGGTGGCCACCCGTCGACTGGGTCCAGTGGTATAATGTTACAAAGTAATAATACTGTACTTTGTAAAAGTACTCTAATGGAAATTTCTACCACTGTCTTATTATGCTCATGACAATGGAAACCACCAGAACAAAAGTGTCTGTGTGTTTGTTACTTTAGCAACAGTGTTCTGTAACAGATTCATCTTGTCCTTGGTCAAGCCACACAGAACTGGTTCAAACCTATTCCTTATCAACTGCTTGCATACCTCTGTTGTGTGACCTTTCTGCCCTGTCTATAAATGTCTGACTGTTAGTAACTGTTTTCAGCTCTCACTCAGATACTGAAGTCTCTGTACGACCCGATTGCTCTTCTTGCAAAAATAAACCACATAAAAGATTTTGTCTTCTCTGAGAATCTTTATTCAGTCTCCTAATAGAATATATTCATTTTCTATTACAGTACTTTAGTACAGTATTTTTGGGATTATTGTACTTTACTTGAGTTTTTATATTTCTGTCAACTTCCACTTTTACTCCAATACATTTCCCCTAAGCGTTTTTGTTACTTTAATACTACAAAATAAAGTCAGAAGGCTTGGGGAGTTAGTGATCCTAGCTTGCAAGTTAGATCACAGGTTAATCACATAAAGGCACGTCAAACAAGGGCTCTTAAAGCTGCAGTTAAGTTTTGATTTCCAGTCAAGCCCTGGCTGCATGTCGGTTTAGATGCTACATGCTAGCAACTATATTCAACTCGATGTTGAGACCGACTTCATGATGTAGGCAGAAAATGGCGTACCACAACAGAGAGGGCGAGTAGTGATTCAAGGCGATAAAAATTTGTGACAAGTAACTGTGTGACAGCTCCACTGCAGTGTGTAGCCTTGGAGTTCAAAGGTTTACGTTGCAAGTGTAACATATGCTCCATTTTTAAGGTGGTGCACATGTTAAGAAGAAATATACTTTGTGGCCACGTTGTGTTTGTTCACTCATAACTCCATGTGTTTTTTGGGATTAAGTGTGATTAATTTTTTTCCAGTTGCCTCCAGTAAAAGGGAAGCCACTTCTACGTTGACGTTGTAGGTGTTTACCTGTGGAGTGACATATTTAAAGCTGTCGAGTTGCTAGGCAGTAAGACGCTGTATTTGCAGAGTTGTTAAATAGGTAGTGTACACTTTCAAAGGGAACACCACTGTGAGCAAGTGGAGATTTGCTGAAGAGGCGTGAAACTGCTAGACTGTTTCTCTTTGTTCATTTGCCCCATAAATATTCAAGTTAGTAATCATAATCTAAAGCAATTATTGAAGACATGTCCAAAATAAGTATGAATAGATATTCAGGATAAACTTGAGTTATTTTGAGACATCACACTAAAGTATATAACATATGTTTGACTGAAAAGCTGGATGTGATTGATAGACTTATTAATGGGGCATGAAGCACAGCAACATATAATTATTTCAGCTGGTGTTATGTTTCCAAACACAATGCATGTTTAATTTGATGATAATCAAGTTGGCACACAGAGGAGGAAACAATGTAAATATTCCTCAAGCCAGTCACAGACCTCAAAGCCTATTATTCCAAAAGAGGATAGGGTCACTAGTAAAGGTGGATTATGGCACCAATTTTCCTTTAACCTGGCTTGAGCTTGTTCAGTAAAGAATAGGGAACTACTGTTAGAGCTATGGTGTCACTTAACAAAATATTTGCTGAAGGACAGGCATACGTAACATGAAGCTTTGCCCCAACTTTATAAGGATGTATTATGAAAGACTTTGAGACAATGCCCTCCATTGTAAAGATGACATTCAGCGAGCGATTCAGTGCATGTCATGGTTTCTCTGTAAAAATAGGACAGAACACAAAATGCACACAAAGTTTGACACAACTGTGTTGCCGTTACAGAATCATGGATACCTGCTGCTTACTCATTTGAGTCTGTAGACATCGTGGTTCAGTACCTGTCCTTGAAGTTCATCACACAGTAGCAACAACCCCACATTAGCTGCTTTGCAAGTCCATTGGCATGTGCTGTCATGGGAGATTTCAATGATATGTGTAAATCACCAACACTATGCAAATATATAACAAAGGGTGCATTCAGGTTGTCAAACAGCCTACAAAGGAAAAGGCACATTGGTCATATGCATTTGAATACAACACAGTATTATGTAGATTCAATAGTGTTGCCGACATAGTTTAGTGATCATGAGGGAATTGTACGATATTATTATTATTATTATTATTATTATTGTTGTCATTTAACATATATAACTTTTTACAGTGCAGAGGAAGAAAAACTTCAGGCTTTTAACAAATGTTTAACTCCTGTGTTAATGATTGTGTGGCAACCGAGGCAGAGAAAGGGTTCATTATATTTTTTGTTTATTTTCTTCAACTAGTTTAATAACATTTATATCGTATAATATTATATGCATGTTTCCTCGATGAGTTTTTGTTCTTTAATGTGTGTTCAATATATAAAACATTAAAAAAAGTTTCTTTTCCTGCATGACAACAGCAACTACAACATGTTTTGACCATAGACTGTAAAATAATGGACGTAGCTACCGTGACGTCACTCACTGATTGGTGGACTCCTGTTTTGAAGCCTTGAGTCTGGCATTTCAGCCTTCACCATCTTGGTTTGTTGGAGCCAGAAGTGATCATATTTGGGCGAGAGGCTGGCGCTGTGGAGGAGCAAGGGGTAGATCTGATGTAGGAGCCGAGGACACTATTAGCAGACAGTCAGTCACTCAACAGGTCAATTATATAAAAACTGACCCCCTGTACAGTTGTCATGAAAGTTGAAATCAGAAACCAAAACAGTTTTTGTACCAGGCTGTAAACATGTTTTTTTTCTGCTGTAAATTTGGGCATTTTAACATGGGGCTCTATGGGAATTGACTCTGTTTTGGATCCAGCCTCAACTCGCTGTTCAGAAAACTGCAGTTTTTGGCATTTCCATGTTGGCTTCATTTTTCAGCCCTGGAGGTTGTGGTTTGACAAACATTTATCTCATATCCAACACTTATTCAAAATTGCACTACATAAATATTTATCCAGATTTGGTAAATGAAGTAAAGTAAAATTGTGCAACTCAGTTTGCTACAGTGACACCACTGGGTGCCCATTTGCAAAGTTCAATTTTTTGGTAAATTTTACTTTCATCTTGACCTTATTGCACTGCCTTGAATTCTGGTGATCTCAGAAGTATCACCAAACAAATGAGCGTACCCAGTTTAGCTAGAAATGCCCCCCTAATGTTTTTCTACATTGTCTAGTTCCAAAATTAGACCATTCAACATTAGACCTGGTGGACTGGCAGCCATGTCAGATTTGTCCACTCACAGGACTCTCTAAAATCACAGGGTTTCACCTCGGAGCAGAGTCGTACATTCTGTGTCACACAGAGTGTTGTGTGCCTGATGCATGTTCTCATTGGGTCATCTCGTCACTTGGTCCTCAGGGGTCAAATCTGACAATCCCTCCACATCTGCAAATAAATCTTATGGTGTATACTATGCTCGAAATGTCATGCTTTCCTTTGTTCTTGAGAGGTTATCAGCAGTACAATGTCACTTCAGTGTAATGACATCATGACCTAGGTACACTGATTTCGTTTTTGGTACAGCTCATATATATGCTCACTTGCCAGTGTAGCCAACATCACACATAGACAGATGACAATAACATCATCACACAGTCAGGAACGTTTACAGACAGGAAGAAAAGTTGCACATTTAATTGACACATAGAGGAGATGTGTCAGTTTAATTAGCATACCAAAGAGGATTTACAGTCTCTATTGTAGCTGTGAGTCTGAGGACCTGATAATTATGTTATGCACATTTAGACACAGTCACTGAAAAAATAAGATACTGTTTTATTGCTGTGGAGTGCAAAAAGCATTAACACCCACGAAGCTGAATATGGATGAGGGCAATCAAAGGTTTTATGACTTAATGACAAACAGAGCAGCAGCCAACATGATTTCTTTCTTGAATTCAGCCTTCGCCCTGATTTCAACTTTTAAAGGGACAGTTCACCCCAAAAATCAAGAATACATATTTTTCCTCTGTCCTGTAATATTGTTTATCAATTTAGATTGTTTTGGTGTGAGTTGTCAAGTGTTGGAGATATCAGCTGTAGAGATGTCTGCCTTCTCTCCAGTATAATGGAACTAGATGGCACTTGGCTTGTGGTGCTCAAAGCACCGAAATTATACATTTGAAAAACTCAACAGCAATGTCGCTTTTTCCAGAAATCATTACCCAGTTACTCAAGATAATCCACAGACCTTGTTGTGAGCAGTTTCTAAAGGAACTATTTTCTTTCTTCTGAACTACACCCACCAACAGAATCATCGTGCAGAGAAGCATGGACCTACATTAACATTTACATCTCTCACTATCACAAGCCTCTTTTCCATGCAAGCTTCCTTCTGCACAGTAATTCGTTTGGCGAGTATAGTTTGTCAGAAAATAGTTCCTACATGAAACTTCGCACACACAAGGTCTGTGGATTATTTTGAGTAACCGCGTCAGGATTTCTAGAAAGAGACATCGCTGTTGAGTTTTTCAAATGTATTTTTGACGCTTTGAGCACCACAAGCTGAGTGCCATCTAGTTCCATTAGAAAGAAGGCAGACACCTGTATGGCTGATATCTCCAACACTCTGAAATTCACATCAAAACAATCTAGACTTATAAATAATGCTACAGGTAAGAGGGATAATATGTGTATTTGATTATGGGTTGAACTGTCCCTTTTACAAAGTGAGGAGTGATTTGAAAGGAGAGCTAACATTTAAATTAATTAGTCTCAGAGGTGCTAATTTTGTTACCTTCAACAGAGCCTGGCTAGCTGTTTCTTGTAAGCTAAGTTAAGTTAAGAGCTACAGATCTTCTAATTAAACTCTCAGCATCAAAGCGAAAAAGCTTAATTTTGAACTATTCCTCCAAGTAGTGGTATCTAACTTTAAAGCAGATCTAGAGTGCTTTTGGTTGTTTTGGTCCTATATTCCCTGGAAGAAACTGTGTGATGACGAGATCTATCACAACTGAGTCCATGTGCAAAACTATAATGAATTCCTGGAGTTATTTTCAGTGTGTATGTGTGTTTGTGTGCATGGTATGCTGCATTTTCTTCTATTTTTTTTACTACATTTCTCTGTACATGTTACTTGTTGCTGCATGCATTTTAATCCAAATAATTCTGAGTTTAACTGTAATGAAATGTGCTGTAGCCTAGAAATACAATGACATGTTTTTATGGGGTTTACATTTAACATTTAGATTAACATTAACATTTAGCTTAACATTTAGCTTTAGATTTAACATTTAGATTTAGATTTAACATTTATATTTAACATTTAGATTAACACTAACATTTAGGTTAACATTTAGCTTCAGATTTAACATTTATATTTATATTTAACATTTATATTTAACATTTAACATTTAGATTAACATTAACATTTCGGGTAACATTTAGCTTTAGATTTAACATTTAGATTTACATTTAACATTTATATTTAACATTTAGATTTAGATTTAACATTTAGATTTAATATTTAATGTTTAGATTTAACATTTAGATTAACATTAACATTTAGGTTAACATTTAGCTTTAGATTTAACATGTAGACTTAACATTTAACATTTAGGTTATCATTTGATATTTAGATTTTAATGGTGACATTATATTTAACACATTTCAAACATTGCTGTAAATGTGGTAAAAATTGACTTTAAAAAATTCACACCACTTTTTTAAACATTGTCTGAAGCTAAATGTGGCAAAATGTTGCTGTTAATTTCAGTGTGAGCCACTTTATATGCCTTGCCCTATCAATAGGAATATTTGTGTGCTTTAATGTGGTGATTTGATTTTTTTTTTTTTTTTGTTAGGACAAGACACGCGCAAATGCACACACAAAGAGAGTGTGTGTGGCACAGACGGAGAGAGGCAAAGAGAGGCGCTTTCTCTGCAAAACTGAGGAAACTTGCTTTCCCCCTCATATCCCTCAAAGCGCTGAGCCTACACTTCCCAGGATCCTTTGAGGCGCGGCAGCAGCTGTGCGCTCCGGCTTGCCCGCAGCAAAGTGATGATAACACGCCAAACAAGGTACAATGAGAGAGCGTTGAGTTTTACATTTCGCCTGCTCCCTCACGAGTGATGCCCAAATCTGTGGAGTAGCATTATGGCTGTCGAAGGTAAGACGCTTCACCCCGTGATGTCCACGATGCCACTTCCGTTTCTGTGCTCGTTTTAAACATAATTGTTGGAGTTGTCGTGATGATCGGAGCTGTATGGTGTGCATGCATGGCTCAACCCAGACACAGTCGGGTCACCTGTGAAAGCCTGTGATTGGGTGATGTTGCAGCCTCTGCTCTCTCTGCATTACGTAGCCCTGGTCATCTTCTGTTATTATTACACTGTGCATGATGTATGTGCAATAGTGCATGATCACACACCATAAAGACTCGTGTTAACGCGCAGCCTCTTTCTGTATTTATATTGTGAGTGTGCGTGTGCGCCTGGTCGTTGGAGACTGGTTAACAGGTCTGCGACCGAGGAGAGGAGCGTCCACTTCTTTTGCATAATCATCCCCGGCGTGCCGTGCGCTCTGTGTTCTCTGGAGGACACCGGAGCTCCGCACAGCTGAGATCAACACCTCTTTCCTGGGTATTTGTTTCTTAGATAATATTCACCGGGCTTTTTTTCCCTGTGTTGTGGCGCAACAGAGCGCTCAGCACTCCGGCTGAGGCTGCTCATCTGGCAGCAGGTGGTGAGACATGTGGACAGGGGAAGTCACCCGCTTCTCCCCGTGATTGTCAGTGAACAGATCAGTGCTATAAGGTGCTCGCTCCGGACATTAGAGGTGAGGAAAGTGACTCGGGATGCTCGGCCAGTCTCCTCACCTTATCGGGGGCATCTTGTGGATCCAGAATCCAATGAGAGGTATGTTGGAGGGGGAGATGGAGGGAGGGGGTGTCACATGCATGCAGCTGGACTAGCTCTCCCTCTTCAAAGGCTTTTCCAGTTCAGTCCACTGTGTGTCTACCAGTGCAGGTATGATTGGTATGAGACACTCCTGCATACCTAACCTAGATCAGGTTATTCATCTCTGACAGCCATTACAGGGCATTTTATACACGTTGTCCACACGTTGTGCTGTTTGACCTGAACCTGTCTCTCCTGTTCCTCTATTGACATGTATAGCAATGGGCTGTATGCTGTCATGCTGTGTTTGCTGATCAATATTTATATGTGCTGGCACTGATGCAGAGTGCTGCTGATGCTCTGCTGCGTGACTTCATGTTTTCCCATGTTGAGGACCCAAAAGAAGATGCGTGTTGCTGCTTAACTCTTACTGCTTAACTCCTGTTTTGCCAAATGCAGTGTGAGGGTATCTTTCTCTACTTGTGAACCATAGGTGCAGATTTCAGGGGGGTGCAGGGGACATCTCCCTCTCACTATTTAGAACTTGTGAATTTGTCCCCACACAATTAGAGGTTTGATTTTCTGCCCGATTGGGCCCAACCTGGCGGGTTCGGGCCAGGCCAGGCCAGGCTGTAATATTTCTCAGTATTTCTTTTTATGAAACTGGCAGTTCTTGTGCTTAAATGGCAGCAGTTGCATTGGATTGAATCAAGACGGTAAGAGAGAGAAAGAGGAGGGGTCATGACAGAGAGAAAGGCAGAGTGATGATGGAATAATGGAGCAATATAGTGGAGATCCAGGGGATAGAGAGAGAGAGCGTGCATGGGAGAGGGGCTGCAAGGTGACTTGGTTGGCAGTGTTTGCTTCTAGCTCCCCAGTAACTGAGCAGATGTGCATAACATGCAGCGGAGAGCAGTGGTCATCATCTGTGCGCCACATCACCATGGCACCAAGGGGCGCAGCCCACTCTGCCAAACCTGTTGTGCACAAGATGCAGAGCAGATGGCAGACTATTGAAATAACAGAAGGAATAAGACGAGGAAAAGTTGTGCAAGGAAACACATCAGCCCTTGTAAAAAATGTTAGAAAATATATATTTTTTTACAGTTGAAATTTGGGTTTTGAGTTGGGCTTGGGTCCAAAACTGCTGCCATGGTCGGGGCTGTGCAGGTTCATGTAGGGTCAGGACTGATTTTTTTGGGCCCCAATCAAAGCTCTACCCCAAATGGAAACATGGAAGTGGCAGGGGACTTTTATTTTGATGAAATTAAGGAAATTTCCACCATAAGTTGATTCTGAAAAGGCAAAAAATTGATGCATAAAAGTTCACCAGAATGCAGGAAATTAAGTGTTTGGCACTCAAAATTTCCTAGGGGAGGACCTCAAACCCTTGCAAATTTTGAAACAAAACCTAATATTTTACCTAATGACTACCTGAAAGCCAAGAGCTCCCCTTGAGGCCTCTTGCCCCCACTCTAACAACAATTTCTCTATTTGTGCCTTTTTAAGATTGAGAAATGTCTCGTACAAGTTGCACCCCTCTTGCTCTGATGTTGCAGCTTCTTTGTGGTGTTGACAGCTGACCTACAGGTGTAAAAGATATTGCCATCCGTCTCAAAGCTTTTTAATGTGTCTTTAATGATATACGATGAGCACAAGAGCAGCAGTTATGACACTGCCATCCTTCCAGCAGCATATCCCTCTGTATAGTTTCAGTCATGCATCTCTTGAGATTCGTCTTTCAAAGCAGAGAAGAGGAAGGTGGGCGCTAAGGCTGCCTGCAGATGCACACTTTGTTCCAGAGCTGAATGGTTTATCCGTTATCCAGTTTTATCCATTCCTTCATACCTTTCTCATCTTTTTGTCATCTGGGCTAACACAGATGAATAAAATCGGTGGGTTAGCATTTTAATAGTATCTCTTTGTTTGATGTGATAGTTATGGAGAAACACCCTCTCCAAAACCGTGGAATTCCGAAATTATGACACGACTGTATCATTTTCATCTAACAATTTCACAGATGGTGTAATACACAAAAGCTTTTTTTTTAACAGCAGAATACAGTTTTTGAAAGCTTTAACTTCTGTTTCTTTTGTCATTGCTGCAGAAATGCAAAGTGTGAAATACAGCATCAATACAATTTGTGACTTGAGCAGCTCAAGGAGCTCTGGGACAACTCAGTGCGTTCAATCATGATTCACTGACTTGTGTCACTGAGAGAGATGAATTATAAGTCATGTCTCTATCCCCTGAAGCCGCTGTCGTTGGATCAGATTTTGCCAGAGCGGCCGAAACATCCTATACAGCCGCATGCTGTGGCTGAAATACAACACTTTGAAATGCTTTCTCCTTGAAGACCATGATGATGATGCTCCTCCTCAAAGGGAAAGTCAGATAGGAGTCAGTGGTGGAAAATTACAAAGTACATTTACTTTAAAGTACTTTACTCGTTTCTAGTTTCTGCCACTTTAATCTTCTACGGCACTATATATCAGATTACTTTCCAGATTTAGATTTCACTACAAAAATGCAATGCCCTTATAGAATACACTACATTAACATGTTTGTGGCTTGTGACCAGTCTTGTCATGTTTCAGGTCTCTAAAACTTGTTTTCCTGTCTAAACTTCTCAGATGGTTTCAGCTAAATAGCTATTTGAGGCCCAAAAAGGTAAAATTATCAATTTTCACACACAGAAATAAGTGAAAGAAAAGAATCAGTCCAAAAAATCTGTCTAGAATTGTGTTGCCAAACTTTTTTTTCTCTAATTCTCTGCGTCATACTAATCATCTTAGGATAATGTTGTGATTATAATACATAATGTTATGTCTAAAGATACTTGGTACCTCTTTTGATACCTCGGCAATAAGTAAAAAAAACTCAGAGATACTCAAAATAATTTTTCAGTAACAACCTGGACACAGTGTTGGTACAGAACAAGTCACTGAACACATACCAACACAGTTTTGAGGGCCATTTTTTCCCCCTGACTGTTATCTCCTCAAGGCGATCATGCATTTGGTTGTGTGTGTGCATGTATGCATTTGTCCACAGCTAGTCTAGCAAACTACTGAACCAATCAGCCTAATATTTCATGTGCATATTTGTGACTGTATGCTCAGTGATCTCTTCTGAAAAACCTGTTGTATTGACTGTTAAACTGTCATCGACTGCTGACTCCCCACTCCTCTTAACTGGCTGGTAGTGGCCACAAGTTTTCCAGAAATCAGGCTCAGCTAAAAACAACAAGCCTTACTGTCAGTTGCAGGACACATTTTGACCTTCACTGTAGTTTAGAAACTGACATCTGTAGAAAGGTTTTGTCTCATTTTAAACCAGAGCAGCTGCAGACTGATTCCATAACACATATGTTATGTTCCACTAAAGTAAGGCAGGTTGGAGCATTGTGTCCGCCTGATTTAGCACAGCAGGGGTACTCTGTCTGCTGGAATTAAAGAATTGTCCAGCGTGTCCATGATCAGCTTGGGGGGCACAAGGCCGCCTGCCAGAGATCTGCTCTCTATTGAGTGCACTTTTCTAGTTTCATCTGTGCAGACTTGGTTTGAAAATCTGATTGTAGATATTTTTTCTTCTTCAGTACTCTTGATACTATTGAATGTATAATTAAAGGAAATATTAGTATTTTAAACAATAAAATGATATCAAAAAGAAGTATTTAAGTATCAATACTTTTGACAACCTTACCTCATGACCCCTCAGATTTATTTTGTGACCCTTTGTGAACCATTAGGTCAGCTGCTAATTGTTTTGTACTATGTTAAGTAGGGTTTCAAATGAAGGACTTTTACTTGTAATGGAGTATTTTTACTTTGTTATATTGATACTTTTACCTGAGTAAACGATCTGAATACTTCTGTCAACTTCTTAACCATCATCTAAATGTATGATTTAGATTTTGTTCTGAAATTGTGTAGTTCATTGAAAGGAAATTAATGAGTGATTATTTGGACTGTTGAATCTTATCATCAGTAAAATCACATTATTTGGTTCCAGCTTCTCAAATGCAAAGATTAATTAGTGGTTATCATTATAAATTGAGTCCCCGGGGGGTCTATGACTAATTCTAGACCAAAAAATGCAAATGATCAGTTGATTAATCAGAAAAGACACAAGTGAAAGTAACCTGCAGTAAGTGTGTCAAGTATAATCTTATTGCTGTTGTGTTTCTATCCTCGTTCCCCTCAGATGACACTCACTGATTGGTTTACATAGTGCATTCTGATCTGCATTTCTAAATTTGCCACAGTTAGCATAAAAAGTCCTGTTTCTGTTTTTAGTTTGGCTCTAATTAAAACGGGTGTTGTTTATTCCTCTGCGGTAAAAGCAAAGCTCTCCCTGTGGATCAGACAAAGCTCCCCGCAGCATCATCACTTTTAATTTAAGATGTGACGTTTGAGAGAAATCACAACAACTCTGCAGTGTCACTGTTTTCTGTTCCAGTGCTCCACCAACCCCTCTAAGACACAAGAATATAGGTCAACTATTTAATAATTTATAACACATGAGAAGACAATAAGCTCTTTGAGAAACTAGCACTTTGGAGAGTGCCTCCCGCCATTTCAGCGTTACTTTGAAAGGCACTTCCACTTAGCTTCTTTTGGCAAATTGAGTCTGTGCAAGAAAACACAAAACTCTGCTCAAACATCTGCAAAGCTCCGTACTGATAACACTTAAAGGTGGCAAGAAGTTCAATTTACTTTCTAAAGAAGGAGACAGAGGTTTAATCAGGCTCTACATACTGTAGTGTGAAAATTTATATTAGCTGCTTTTAGTTAAAACTCTACAACATAATCTGTATATTGCTTCTTTGTGCAAGCATCTTTTTTTGCAAGCATCCATTCTTTTTAAAGTCTCATCTGGAAAGGAAATGCTTGAGGAGTATGTGTCAGAAAATGTGTTGCTCTCTCTGACACATTTCTTGTACCTGCAAGAGGTGTAAGACAAGAGTCTTGGGAATTGTTACATCATGTTGGACAGTAAATCTGATGCCGTGTTTG